AAAAAAAAAAAAAAAAAAAATCTACCTAGAAAGGGAGTAGAAGTTACCAGGCAGCTGGGGTCTCCAGATAGCAGGGATGATTCTAAGGACGTAGGTGTGGGATCAAAGGAGAACATGGACCTATTTAGTGGACCTGAGCCTCTTTCTGCTTTGCAGAATCCTAGCCCACAGAATGTATGGTGGGATAAAGTCTGCACCTCAAACAGTACCCTTCAGTTTGCAAACAATGTTCCCCTTGGGACAGGTGGCACCCCAGGCTCCCAACAGCAGAGCAGAACAGCAGATCAGAACAGGAGCAGGCTAGACTGGTGGCTCCCCAAACATCTCCCTTATGTGAGACAGGATGGGGCTGACTCACCAATCTCGGTGGCAATGGTCTGGAGTTTTTCTAGAGTCCGGCTGATAAGTATAACATTGAGTCCTTGTCTTGCTAGCTGGGGGTGAAAGCAGAGAAAACCAAAAATGGATAAAGAAGCTACACAGACACGGAGGCTTGCTCCACAGGTGAACAAATGGGTCATCAGGTGTCATGCTTGGTTGCAGGGTGAGGGGCCTCCTCCATTAGCGCTGAAACCATCTAGAATAGGACAGAGATTGCCAAGCTATGGACAAAATAGCCACAAGGGACTGGGCTTACAGGTTATAGCATAGTCATGAGCGTATGCTGTGTTTACTATGTACCAAGAATTATTCTAGGCACTTTTCTTTACACTCCCATGATCTAAAAGCCCCTGTCCAAAACATGTAGGATTTGCTGTATGTCCAACTCAAAATATTGCAAACTTTATACTATATACAGTCAGCCCTCTCTTAGCTCCAAAACCAAAATTCAACCAACCCCAAATGAAATATCCCAGGGGAGGTATCTCTTCTCTATTGAATATGTCCAGCAGGGTTCTTGTTTCTTGTCATTTTCCCCAAAACAGTATAGCATAAGATTATTTACAAGGCATTTCCATCATATTAGGTATTGTAAGTAATCTGGAATGATTTAAAATGTACAGAAGGATGCGTGTAGATGATAGACAGAGTACTGTGCCATTTTATATGAGGGACCCATGCTTTGGTGTCTGCAGAGACCCTGGATCAGCTCCCATTGAATATGGAGGGATGGCCTGTAATACTAAGTATCAAGGTCTAAGGCAGCATCCATGATTTAAAAAAGCATTTCTGCAACAATTTGAGCTGCTTCTTATTCACCAAAAAATTATTCTGGTGAATCACTTTACAGGGGAACTTTCTTCTTTTGTCTCCCATCAGGAAAAGAAATGGAATTGAGGGCCCAAAGTGAAAAGCTGGATGTTTCCCTGGCATCAGCAAGGGCAATGCCTGCTCTCAGACTAAGTGACATGCACATTAACTTGGCCAGAGCAAGTGTAAGTGTGCTGTTCTGGGGAAAACTCCAAAATGTTACCAATGAGAAAAGTTAAAACTTTGTCCTGAAGAACAAGAAAGGAAGGAAGGAAGAAGGACTCATTTAAACAGATTAATGATGTTTGAGTTAGTGACAAAGGCCTAGCTATTGAAAACTTTTTCTATGGTTTTAGTCAAATGATTTATAATGTCATCTTTTTAATTGTGGCAAAAGACACATAACATAAAAGATACCATCTTTTTAAAAAATTTATTAGTACATGCTTGCAGTGCATTTATTTTGGGGAGTTGTACATGTACGTAATACATCTTAATACTTTTTTTTTTTGTTCCTTTCCCTTCCCGTCTCTTCCTTCTCCCTCGAACTCTTGGACCCCTTCCCATTTATGAAACTTCTATTTCCATTTCCATTTTTTTCTTCAATTCTTCCCTTTAAAAAAAAAATCCCTTTAGCTTTCCTTCCTTCCCCTTTCCCTTCATCTTTTATTCTCATTTGAAAATGATTTCTCTATTTGCTATTATTTATCTTTTATTTATACTTTGCTGCTCATGTAAGAGAACCCATGTGATATATAAACTTGCATGTCTGATTTATTTCACATAACATTATGGTTTTGAAATGCATCCATTTACCTGCAAATGTCTCAAGCTTATTTTTTCTTATGGCAGAGTAGTACTCCTTGCATATAAATACCATGCTTTGTTTATCCACTCATCTGTTGATGGCCATACAGGCTGCTTCCAAGATTTAACTATTACAAATTGTGTCACTATTGAAAGTGTAAATAAAGATCAAAATGTATATAGATAATGTGAACTGGAAGAAAAGGTCTAATGGGGAAGGGGAAGTGGGAGGGGCAAGGAAAAGGAAAGAAGGGAAAGGAATGAATATGAGAAAAGGAAAAAATGGAAACTGTATTTATTAATAGGAAGTGGGGAGGGGTTGGCTGGAGGGCAGGGGAATGGGGAAAAAAGTAAGAACTAAGATATATTATGGGTACAAATTCCCAATAATGAATTACAGCATACTGTATACCTAAAATGTACTAATAAAATTAATGAAGTAAAAACAATAAAATAAAATAAATTGTGCTGCTATAAACATGAATATGCATATATCACTGTAATATGATGACTTTAACTCTTCCGGGGAAGATACCTAAAAAGGGAAGAGCTGGGTCAAATGGAATTTCTATTTTTAGCTTGTTAAAGACTCTCCATCCTGATTTCCATAGTGGTTGTCCTAGTTTACATTCCTACACAGTGTAGAAGGGTTTCTTTTTCCCCACATCCTCACCAGCATTTGTAGTTATCTAATTTCTTGATGATATCCATTCTTTCTAGAGTAAGATGGCTTCTCAGTGTTGTTATACTTTGTATTTTTCTAATGGCTAGTGATGCTAAACATTTTTTCCTGTATTTGTTGGCCATCTGTACTGCTTCTGAGAAGTGTTTACTCATTTTGTTTGCCCATTTTTATTGGGTCTTTTATTGGGGGGGTCTAATTTTTTTTGAGGTCTTGATATAGTCTAGATGTCATTCTTACCCATTCTGCATGCTGTCTCTTCACTATGTTGGTTGTTTCCTTTGATGTGCAGAAACTTTTTAATTTGGTTTGATCCCATTTGTTGATTTTTAGTATTATTTCTTGTGCCTATAACTATGTCTTCAAGAGTATTACCTATTTTATCTTCATGTAGATAAACTGTTTCTGTTTTAACATTGAGATCTTTGATCCATAAAATATCTTAACAAAAATATGGACTATTACACATATATGGATCATCCTTGGGGACCCATGTTAATCTTCTCTGTCTTTACTCTTAGTAAATTTGCTGCCAAAACAAACATTTGCTGCGGCTTTAATAAAGAATTATAGACCAGAGAAAACACAGAAGCAGCTGAACTGTGGCTCAGACCACATAGTCTCCAATAGCCACTAATTCACTCTTTAGGTTGATAGCCTTTGACCCAGAGAGGTGTCAAAACCCCAACCATGGAGCCAGGGATTTAGCTCAATGGTGCTGCGTCCTGCCTCGCAAGCACAAGGTCCTGAGTTTGATTCCCATACCAAAAAACAACAACAAAAAATACCAGTTGCCTCCAAAACCATCCAAGTAAAAAAAGTCTCTGGAGAAGCCTTAGCATTTACATTGTCTTCAACTTTAATTTGTTAATGCACAGTACCAAACACACAAATACATTCTCATTATAAAAGATTCAAATGATACCAAGGAAAAAACATTCCCAACCCCCCCTAGTTTGATCTCCCCAACTCTTAAACCCTGCTGCATTTAGCAGCTTGTTGATTCTTCTATAACTTTTTCTCTGCACTTATGGGCATACATAGATTTATATAGAAATAAAACTTTGCTTTGTAGGTTTTCTTTTCATATTGTATGTGATACTCTATTGTCTTGCAATGCTCTTTGATAATGGAAAAGACACATTCTCTTCCATTCACTTAGTTGAACAAGAAGCATTATACACCCTCCCCACTTAATTTCATTTGCAAAATTAGTTCCATGGCACTACACAGATGGTAGGGAATCTGGGGGTGCCCTGCTGAACAGCCACTTACAAGTTAACAGACCTCATTGGGGAAGAAAGGGCAAGAATCTGCTCTACCAACAGTATCAGGCTTATTTATTGGCATTGTTACTTGAATTATTTGGGATATAAAAAAAAATCCACAAGTAACACTCAGATTCATCCTGTTCCTACCACTTAACACCTGTCTGCACAAATCAACTGTTCCACAGATGGGATAAGAGAACATATTAGGCAGTGTGTGGCACTGACTGAGCTGGTCATAGAGGAAATACTATTACTTTATTTATGATTCAAAGCTCTTTACCCAGCTGCTTAGCTGAATTTCTTTTACTCATTTTAATAGTTTATTAATGTTTAAGGTTTGGCTTTTCACACAAACAATAGCCTTTTTTCTAGAGTCAGTTTTGTCCCTTGTCAAAATTTGGATATTTTTTCCTCATTACCTTAGCTAGCACCTGTTCCACTGTAACAAATTGCCATTGTAACAAACTCAGTTGTCTTGTTCTCTGCCATCCCAGGATCATTTCCCACTGTCATTTATGGTGGATTTTTTTTTTATCAGTTAAAGAACACCTTCATTTATTTGTTTTTGCAAGTTACAGTTTTTCTACACTGCTAGGTTCACTTTGCAGGTATTTAACTTGGATCATAGCTCCCTGCTGTTCTCTCTGACCCCTCCTGGCATCCAAATCATGTTAATCTGTCTGAACAGTTTTTGAAATATATGGGATGATCAACTCATCCCAGATCTTTTCAGTTTGCTGCTGCTACTGCTGCTGTTGTTGTTGCTGTTGTTGTTGTTGTTGTTGTTGTTATCTTGAGACAGAGTCTCAGTATGTAGTTCATTCTGGCCTACATTGAAGAATAATTTTTCAACAGAGATAGGTGGTGGACATAGTTCCCTAACATTGTTTTTGTTTTGTTTTGTTTTTTAATGTTTTGCACTATGGTCAGTGACTGCAATGGTATGCCATTTGCTATTTGTTTCTTTGTTTGTTTGTTTTCAGCTTTAATTGAGTTTATTGGTACATTTTAGGAATACAGTACAGTTACATTCATTGTTGGGATCTTGTACCTCTACATGACAAGTCTTGATTCTCATTTTTTCCCCTTACCCCTGCCCTCCCTTCACCCCCTCCTCCCCTCCCCATCTACAAACATTTTATTTCCATCTTTTCATTATCTCACATTTTTTTCTTTTCCCTTATTACCCTTCCCCACCCATCCCACCTTCCCTACACCTTTAGTTCCTTTCTTACCATGCCATTTGCTATTTGTAATGCCACAATTTCTTTTGTAGCCTAATAAGACAGCTTTTATGAACACTGCAAATGAATCTTTAAGTAATATATCTTTAATGTTCTTGACTGCTCAATTTTATAAACAGTTGTCTATTAAACTAAACTTGGGGCTTGACAATGAAGGAAAAATAAGGATGCAAACAACCTTTAAAGAATTTTCCCAGGTGCAGTCAGGAAACCATTAAGGGAGACCTATATACACCATT